GAAACTTCTGTGCCCTGAGCACTGGGGAGAAAGGATTTGGTTATAAAGGTTCCTCCTTTCACAAAATTATTCCAGGATTTTTTGTGCCAGGGTGGTCACTTCACACGCCATATTGGCACAGGCGGCAAGTCCATCTATTGGCAGGAATTTGAGAATGAGAACTTCGTCCTGAAACATACAGGTCCTGGCATCTTGTCCATGGCCAATGCTGGACCCAACACAATCGTTCCCAGTTTTTCATCGTCACTGCCAAGACTGAGTGGATGAATGGCAAGCATGTGGTCTTCGGCCGGGTGAGCCCCTGACCCACACGAAGCCAACAAGACCCTCACCTGAAAATTCTAGGACTGAGAGAGTTGGCAACCTCTTTGGGCTGCCTGGATTACAAAATACAATATTAGAAACCATCAACATGTCCCTTGGGGAAGAAGAGAAAGACTATGTGAAGGTGAAAGTAAAGCCATTGCCAAAGGGTGAGAAGGGAGAGAGACTCCTGATGGGCTGGATTCCCTGACCTCTTGGTCCTGAGACACAGTAGTCCTGCCACCCGATTTCATCAGTCTTCGAGGGGAAATTAAATTGGGTTCCTGCCACCGGCAACCAACAGTACCAACATAGTGACCCCACACACACACTATAAATGGTGCAGCAACTGAAAGGCAGTTTCCTAAGACTTGTTGAGAACTGAAGTTCTCAGCAACAGGCATTGCAGGGAGTTGAGTAAGAGAAAAAGACGAAATGGCAGTTGACCTCATGTAGCTAAAATGATGCGCATGGTGAGCTTAGACAAACATGCCTTGGGCACGCCCAGAAACAGAAGGGTGAGGGGAGATTCTACAAGGACCAGAGCTGGTGAAATAATCTGTTATTGTTGACAATAGTCGGTGTTTAGCTTCTGACTCACATGGCCTGAAGAATAAGAGGTTACAAGGATAGGAAACGTAGCAACCCTGCTTTGCACAATTTATGAAATTTCTGTTTGTTACGTAGTATAGCACAGGCCACTTTATTATGAAGAATGTTTATTTGCCAAAGATTTATTCAGAACAGCACTGTATTTTTCGAA